GTATTTATTTAGATAGCTAGGCTACGACATGTGTACCAGTAAACTATGAATTCTTGTTTAAAAATGCTGGAGGTAACTCGCGAATCCAAATTGAAAATTACTTCAGGCCCAGTTTTATGCTTATAGATTTACAACTTCATGAAGGATTTATAATCGTGTAGAGACGTTTTTGCCCGGTTTAATGTTGTATTATTAAACACCGGGTATCCCATACTAGCAAGGAAATAAATTTCTAATTATACTAATACCTAGGAAACATAAACTTACACTACCTTTATTTCTATAACACTGCCAGTTGAAGTTGAAGGAACTTCGCCTTCCATCTTCACTTGAATGCCAATTTGGTCTATGAATATTGTTTTTAAAAAACTCTGTCAGACAGTGTAGTACTAGTATTGAAAAGGGTTTTTTTAAAACAAACAAAACATTTTGTTTACCTAGGAATATAGCTGTTGAAAACGGGGAAAATATCACAAAAAGAGTGTATTTAAAGTCCATTTTACTTTTATTCAATGCAGTCGTTCTGCGATATATTATAAAGCGTATTTAAATGCGTTTTTCTGTATATTTTATTTCAATTTTAACAGTTATTGGCAACATTATTAAGGCCAAGGGCAAGGTTATTTAAAAGGCCATAGGCATAGCGTACGTTTTGACCTGTCGCAATTCACAAAAAATTACACTTTTAGCATAGAATTTTGAACCAGAATTTAATATGGAATAAAGAATAATTGTACTAACCTTTTCACTTAAACTTTTTTGTCTTTAATGCTTTCTTTTTGCTGTTATATTTTTTCCCGCCAAAACGTTTTTGAAGTATCGCTCACTTGCAGTTCGCCGTAACCCGGGTATAAGCTCCCGGGTTTTTGGCCCTTAGTAGCAAAAGCCTGGTTACTAAGTTTTGAGCGTTTTTGACAAAAATTACGCGAGTTTGTAAAAAATCTCCTCTTAATGTTTTACATATTTAAAAATCCAGGATTCATAATTAATTGTGTAAACGTTCTCTGGTTAAAAAGATTTATTTATTACTTATTTATTTATTTAGTAATAAATAAATCTTTTTAACCAGAGGACGTTTACACAATTAGTTTTACATATTGCCCACTTTGAGATCCCTTGACTGAAATGTAAATCAGGCTTAAATTCCCAGCAATTCCTAGCTTATGAGGGGTTGGGGGAGGGGGTACACTGACTGATGCATAATTCTGTTCATACTTATTATATTTCAACAATATATACAACAACTCTCTTAACTATTTACAATATTTACAATATTTACAAACAATGAAAATATACAGTAAACAGATCAAGTCTGTGGAGCATCGTGTGGACAATGTGATCGCAGGTGACCTTCATTGGTGCCTTGCACTTGCTACATTGTCTGGCTTTTCTCTTTGGCAGTGGGAGATTTCCTGTTGATTTCCGTTTTTCTGCCTCCAATAATGCTGTTTTTTCTGCAACTAAAAATAATTCATCAAATTATATAAGTTATATCAAAAGAATAATAATGTAATTTGTTGTCTGCTTTGTATATGATAATATTTGTGTTGGTGTTAACAATTGTTCGCCAAAGGTGAGGTGATTTATATCGGGGAATATTTGCAGAGACAAAGTTGAGGTGAATATTCCCCGACAATCACCAAGTCTGAGGCTTGTCAATGGAAAAGCTCAGCAGCTTAATGGGTTAAAAATTTTTTTTACCGAGACTTGTCTGCATCTGAAGCCGTGTTTACACTACGAGCCTAAGCCTGGCCTAGGTTTGGACTAGATTTTGGTAGTGTCGACTTCGACCGCCAGTAGACCACTAGACCATGCACTCCGACTGCCACTAGACCAAGAAATCTGGGCCACCTTTCCTGATGGGCCCAGATTTTGTGGCCTAGGCCAGGCCAAAGTGCATTTACACCACAAAAATCTAGTCCAAAGGTAGGCCAGGCTTAGGCTCGTAGTGTAAACACAGCTTGAGAATTACCTAACTGGCGCCCAACATGGTGTGTTTACACCAGATACCGTACCTGGCTAAAGCCCTGAGACAAATCAAAATAGATCATTACATACACATAACATGAAGTAGTGACTTTGAAGAAGTAAATAAACATAGAAATTGGTCAGAAATTGGCTTCAATTGACCTGTATTTAAACTATTAACCACTTGAAGGCAAGCTCAATTTAACAACACATTCCAAATACTTTTATGTCTAGTTGACATCTACATATTAAACTATGAAAATGTAGCATGAGAGCCTTGCCTTACAAAGCTTTTATTTCATGTTGTTCACTTGCCTTTGGTGGCAAACTATTAAATGTCCGAGTGTGAATTCCAAATTTATAGCAACAAATATATTTACTATTATACATAGTGTAAGCGGGTCTTTATAGAGTTATCTGGTTTTTGCCGTGAAGAGTATTGAATATTTAGATTATGTCAAGGATGAATATGTAACAGCTTCAAAATGCCGCAAACGAACAATTTATGCATATATTTACCTGTCTTCTTTCACGAGCTGAAATCGCCTGAACTTGTGGCCCTGAAACAACGCAATCTAGACTAGGTATCGCGCCTTTCTTCAGCCATCTCTTAGTCGTGAATTTTTCCCGTTCTTGTGGATTAAAATCAAGCCGTTGTTCAAAATCTGTGACCTTGAAATGTGCTGAGCAAAGCACCGAAGTGCTTGATGGCTGCCATTGCGGACGATGTCTTTGGACAAAACAAGCCCATTTTGGTCGGACAGAACTATCGCTAGGGAAGCGATGCATCGAAATTCCTTCTGTTTTCGAATTGTTTTTGCAACTGACTTTTCCAGGTCCGCCTGCAACACAATACTTTCCAAGAGATTTCCCTTTCGCTCGGCTGTTTTGAGTCTCGGCCATAACAAATTGACAAATTCACCTTTGGAATGAACGCGCGAGTACAACCAGTGACGTCACGCCATCAATTTGACCGCGCCGTGAGATGGGACAAACCACGGGACAAACAAAGGTCATAGATGGCACACTTTGTAGCTTAAAAAATCGACTTTAAAGAATCGCGGGGCGAAAATAAAATACAGCATGATATTCAGCGTACTTTAAACTATAAAATCAGCACAATTTCAGAAAAAAATTTCAGCCGTTTCATAAACACTTTAAATGAAATACACATTGTTTTGTCTTCAAACTTCGAGTTTATCCGCCGGATAGTGGATTTAAACTACCTCCGGACCTTGGATAAATTTATCCAACGGATAGTGCATTTTATCCGTTGCATAGCGCTATCCAAGCTTCGTACAACGCGATTTTCACTCCGGATAAAATTTATCCGCTGGATAGGGACTTATCCACCGGATAGCGATTTATCCACCTTTCGTACAACCGGCCCCAGGACTTCTGTGATGCACAGTGCGTTGTGGCAAATTATGGTTATCACATCACTCGATCGAGTCGAACTATCAAACAATGTTTTGTCTTATACGACTTTTACCAGTGAACTCAAAATAAAAATTAGTGAACCAAATTAAAAAAAGCCTAAATATATTTTATTAAAACTGTGGCCGGTTGTACGAAATGGGGATAAATCGCTATCCGGTGGATAAGTCGCTATCCGGTGGATAAATTTTATCCAGAGTGAAAATCGCGTTGTACGAAATTTGGATAACGCTAGCCAACCGGATTTCACTATTGATTGTTAGAACAAAAAATTACTTGCTTTCAAAGCCAAATACATATACATATAAATAGATAGCCAGACGCCGATATATTGAACTAGGAGAAACAATATCGAACTATCGGAGAAACTGCGGTATTGATAAATTAACTCCTGCACGATGTTTTGCCGTGTGGCTGATATTTCGAGCTTTGGTCACTTTGGTGGGGCTGTCATCATTCAGAGCAAGCTCAAACGGTCGGTGCCAATACAATGAAAGTAGCGACGATAGAGGAAGACAGCTGCGCGGATTGCTCTGAAAAATATAACAAAACTTCGACATTTCGAGCGAAGGCAGAAAGTTAGTAGCCAAAACTACGCTATTGTGCTATAATAACGTTTAAATATAGGGCTATTATGAAATCGAAATCACAAAAAACCGGACCATTAGTGCGAATGATCATGCATGCGAAGGGATTCCGAAGTTCCTGTGCGTACATCCACACACATGCTCACCGTGTGATGATAAACATTATTATCTAGTATTGAACACGTTCCGCACGAAATATAAGCTACTGAAAAAATCTTTATCCTGTGTCCTTTGAAAATCGTTTAAAAAACGTTGAAAGTAACTTCGAGAGAATCAATGAACATTGATGCATGAAATAAATGCCAGTAGAAGTACTCTGTCAGACAAAAATGGACAAATATTGGTAATCTGACTGGTTTATATAGAGGGATTTCATTTGACGTAACAAGAAAGTAAAACATACGAAAACCAACTATTTGCTTATTATTTGATATATTTCTGTTCTATGACTATATATGATCATTACACCGAGTATTTTCAAAAATAGAGCGCCGGTTTTTAGTATTTTGCTTTATATTATAAAAAGGGCTAGCTCATTATTAAAGCTACCATCAAAAACATAATTAGCCTAGTGATGCATTTCAAGACATTTTTCGAAACTGCGCGCATTTTAGTGTAGAGAACTCGGAACGCAGATTGGCAACACCCTGTTTTAAAACTTCGAAGAACATTTTGTTTCTGTAGAATTAGAAAATGGGATTCCGCGATCGGCAATATTTGATCGGATCAGATTTAGCCATTTTTGTCGCAATTTACATGCAATGAGAAATTAAGGGTATATCGTTTGTGATTTGACAGCCAAAGACGTTGATCTTTAGTGAAACGAAAAGCGTAAATCATTAAAGTGCCTATATCAGGGTTTTGGAGTTTGCATATCTCGAAAGTTTAGGGTATTTTAAGACACTTTGCAATATATTTTGTTATTGAAAAATTTCATCTTGATGGTTTTATTAGCTCTTAAAGTTACCGGACATGACGTCAAAAGGAGAATTGCAAATCAGTTTTCCTTTGTTTCATTGCAACAAAATTCTCCTTTTGACGTCATGTCCGGTAACTTTAAGAGCTAATAAATCCATCAAGATGAAATTTTTCAATAACAAAATATATTGCAAAGTGTCTTAAAATACCCTAAACTTTCGAGATATGCAAACTCCAAAACCCTGATATAGGCACTTTAACTCAGTACACGAGATCATGCACATCGGCTAGAATTAAGTTATCTTTATTTATACACCATGTAAATTTCTTCAATAATTGCTCATTATTACTCGTTACGCAACGGATCCCACAAGTGGATTCCACCAACTGAAAGAGGCCTTTTACGAACACAGTCTAGATCATTAAACAGGGGAAGTTAGCTTGATAAATGGCAAACGTATAAAGCATCCATGCATGTCGTATGCGTGCCCGCATTCGTGTCTTGAGTTGTGGCAAGGTATACCATTGATTAACCGGCGCCAACGATTTAAGCTAGACGTTCATCTTCGATGGCAAAGCTTTTGATATTAGCATTCCTGTCAGTATTTCTAACAGCGCAAATGTAAGTTTCAATATTGTATATATATTGTATTAGTTTTCATAATAAGAATAGTAATTAACTATATTTTTACAGATGGATTTTATATATGGAATTTTCGAGTGTGAGATTTATACATTTATTATAGGCCTACAAGGCTATAACCGGGAGCAGTTGCGAAAAATGCAACTATATTATAGACCCTCTGGCAGTAATCGAACCTGCATGCGGCCCTGCAATTCCGGTGTAGCTCTAACCATGCAACTGAGCTACAGAGGCCATGCATGCAGTTGTGTAGCTCTAACCGCATGTTCAATTAGGTGTATGGGCAGTCAAAATCCATTTTGCATGCAATTGCAATTAGTTATATCGAGTGTATATAGACGCCTAAAATTCTGATATTTTTACAGGTTTGCTTGCTCAGCTGTACTAAGCTCAAGGACCTGTGTTAATAATACACAGAAAAACTGAGTGAGAATCTAACTTTTTGCAGTAGCAGTTTGTTGTTATCCCAATGGCCTGGTGCTTTTCCATGGGAGAGCTTTTGAAAGTAGCCGCCATAGCGGCCCAAGCCGCGTTTAAGCATTTTAAATATGTCTATATTAAACAAGCTCTATTTCGAATATATTTTCCGGCCTTGTCCAATTATTTTGGATGTTATTCGATAAGCAATTTTAAAGGATTTTTTCCTTGTACTTTCTGTCAATTGTTTCATCAAATTGTTCCATTCCAAATCAGCTTGAATAGCTCAATTTATTTTGTTAAACTTTTAATATTATATTTATATACGCGTCTTACACTAGTCACATCGTTCATTTGGAATTCGGGAAGGCTGTATTAAGGGCGCATATGACTTATGTCATCAGTATCACGGAGCACGACTACGGTGAAAGGTTCGGTTTGGAGGTAATCCCATCCCACTCTGCCAATATTTCCATGTAGGAGGAAACCCCAGTGATCTGAGTCACGGAGCAAACCCACGACTTTTTACGACGACCAGAAATTAAAAACAAAAATGATCATGTCGCTGGGCATTCATTGCATTACATTGTAGCCGGTTTCCGTCAAAAATTTTCCCGCTCTTTTTCTTTTGCTTTATTTCGAATTATTTGTGGCGAAGTAAGGCCCACATTACAAGCTTAAATGGTTCTTAATTAATTATGCTTGAGTCACTTAATATTTTCTTGGGCCTTTACCCTTATCTTAATCTCGATATTCTACCAATAAATCAAAAAATTTTGCCGACAATTTAGCAGTTTTCCTCATTGATATTCAGTACACGTCAGCATGTACATGTTCAGTTAAGATGACCTACCTTATACCTACCTACCTGCCTGTCTGCCTGCCTGCCTGCCTGCCTGCTTGCCTGCCTGCCTGCCTGCCTGCCATCTATTTATCTATCTACTGTATGATAGCTGCAAGTTATATATGTTCCTGTGCTCCAAAGCAGTCCCTTTTCTTTACAAGTTATATATGATCCGTGTAAAAAACACTCTTAATATTAATAGGGACGTTTTATAGGAGGGACGGTATACGCGGTCAAAATAATATAACCTGAATTTTTAAATTGCGTTTTTTACCTTACCTAAAAGCAGTGTTTGAAATTTATATGTGTGGTTTTTTCGGCAGTAGAATATATATTGGCATAATGGATACGAGACAAAATCTACTAGAGGAGTTCATTGGAATGCTGCCCCGAGAAAAGTTTGAACATTCAGTTTCTCAGAGAGGCGGAAATGCAACTAAAATTTTCCAATTAGAGCATTGCATTCGCTTTTAACTTGCAAGTTTGCTTGTCAGTGCTCTTATAATTTACTTGAAAATCAGTTCAAATCACTTCTAAATTTACCTGAAGTCACTCATGACAATTTTTTTGGGGGTACCCCCCGTCACTATATACCGCCCTGTTTCCGGGAAATATTCACTCATTTCTTATTCAGTATATTTTATTTCATTCCACATACATACTTACATAATCATTGTTCATTTCATATAAAGAACGTAATACATACGGTTTATTCCGCTTCAATATAATCCCCAATAATAACAAAGGTTAATCAGTAATTACTCAATGTGTGCAAGTCAAGTTAGCTGAAATATATAAGATCTATTATTGGGGTCCGATTTCAATATTTCTTAGATCGACAAGTTATTTTTGTAATTTTCCTAGATGTTCAGGATTTTGGGGCAAAACAAATATTTGCAAATACAAGAAAGAAGAAAGCGCAACAAATAACGTGCTCTCCAAACGTTCCAGATCATGTGGTGACAACGAAAGGTACATGTGCTACATACAGCATTAAATAATTAACAGTTATTTTGCGAACTCCAGTCGTATATAATTTGACTTCAACTCTAACTCTTAAATTCCCTACATGGCCCCTTGATCATGGGAAACGTCCTCGCTTGAATAATTTTTTTCTAACCTCGTTATTACGCCATACTGTGTAATATTCGAATTCCCTACAGAAAAATAACACTCTTTTAATACCTAGGCATAAGACCAATAGACTCGCTAATCAGGACCGTAGCTAGGGGGGGGGGTATTGGGCGGGGGGGTTAACCCCCCAACTTTTTTAGAATTACCATATTCGGAAAATCGGGTTGGCTATTCTGAAAATTACTGCAATAATAGTATAACAAAATTTTAGTTGTTAAACAGAGAAAATATAATATAATTGTATTGTCAGTATAAACTGAATTACGAAATCATAGCATTTACATGGATAACATCATTAACAAATCGTAAATCGGTTTATTACTTTTAACAAATCGTAAAAATGTTTTTCGGTTTTAATATTACTTCCAGGGCCGTAGCAACCGGGGGGGGGGGGCTTCAGCCCCCCTCCCAATAATTTGCTAATAATCATTCATTTTTCAAAATCATGCAGCCCTTTATCATTTAAATGGTATACCTTTAAAATACTGACGATTGATTAATTTTAAGCGGCTACATTATCCATGACAAACTGCAAGAATCATATTACCCATACTTTCCTGCAATTTCTCTAATATATAGTTAATCAAATACGCCTTCGCCCACTTAATAGTACTACTTAATTGAAAGCAAATTGTAAATTTCGACATACTAGAGCGCTATTTTCTGACCATCAGAGTTCTGTCAAAACTTCCCCAAAGTCCAGGAAATGGCATTTCAGGGACTCTAAATTTAAAAATTTCCTCGGGCCTTCGGCCCTGGCTCTCCGCCCCCAATAAAAAAGAGTTTCCCTACGCCGCACTGCATGCTTCTGTAATATGTCTGTGCGTAGAATATGCGTATTTTTGTTTGTAAATTGCGTCTTCATTTTCCGGATAGAAAACACCTTCGTGGCTTTGCATGCCATGAAATATTCGGAAATTTTTTTCGTCATTCGGAAATTTTTGGCCTACACCCCCCAACTATAGATGCTAGCTACGGCGCTGTCTTTCCTCTTCCTTCACCTCATGGGAATGTAGAAATAATTATTATCAGTATTATGAGAAATCAGAAAATACTCGAACCCCGACCTAAATACTCGAACCTCGAGTATTTTCCGATATGAGAAATCGGAAAATACTCGAACCCCGACCTCCCGCGCCGCAGGCGAGAATTCTATTTGCAATTTTTACTATTTCATTGTGGATTTAAAACATTGCCACGTCGTCAAATTGCTATGTATATATGTACTGTATGTATATGTAAAACTTTATTTAATGACGCTAGCCTTGTTAACAGCAATTTTGTTGATTTCCACAAGGCCGTCACTAACACAAGAAAAGGATATTTACAAAGAAAGAAAAAATATAAATATACAGCTATTTACAAGAGATTTATTAAAGGAAATTAAATTAAATTGGTGTGATTCATTCGCATACTAATATCTATAATTGATTCTATCTAACAATATAATTGTTTTACAAAATTTTTGAAAAAGTAAATTGTTTACTAAGCTATTTTTAAGAAATTCGCGTCTCTGTTTAGGAAGGGCCAGATCAATGTCAGAATTTCTGAGGTCATAATTAGTTTGTAGAGAATTTCTCGTCATCAATAACTCTTTCAAATTTGGTGCACTACAACAATTCAGAATTTTATATAATCATGTTGCCTTATATACTCAGACTTCGTCTGGAATCTAAATTTTCCCATTCAAGAGCCGGAAGAATGTTAGTAGACCTGATCTCATAGCTAGCACCAGCTGCCCGATTTTGAAACTTTTGTAACTTATCTTTTGGAGTTTTGTTACAAATATCCCAAAGTGGAGAGCAGTAATCGAAATAAGGTTGAATCAATGCGCTATAAATTGATTGCAACATGTTTGCAGGAATGTAGGGCTTGATACATTTTAACGTTCCTATATACACATGCCCCAAATATTTTCCAAATTGTTTCAATGTGTTCGTTCCAATTTATTGTTTCATCAAGTGTAACGCCCAAAACAAGAGATTGAATGTACGCTGGGAACCGACTATTATGTTTGAACCAACGTACATTAATTGGTTTTGGTTGAATGATGCTGTAATTTGTTACTTGTTAGTCATTGGATAATTTTATTCAAATCCTTATTCAAGTTGGAAACAAGTTCCGCAGAATCCTTAACGGATAAAAATATCTATGTATCATCGGCATATAAGCAAGGGCTTGTGTTATCAAAACTATTTGGGAGATTAATGAAAAGTAAGTTAAAACAATAATAGCCCTAATATGGATCCCTGAGGGACTCCACAAACAATATATTTGGGGGTTGACGGCGTGCCATTGACAAAACATACTTGTTCCCTATCAGAAATGTAGGATTCAAACCACTTTAATTCAATATTTGAAACTCCAAATTGATCTCTCATTTTGCGTAACAAGATAATATATATTATGGTTAATTGAATCAAAGGCTTTCAGAATATCAAGAAAAAATCCTAAATATCCTAATATCCTTCGAATATCCTAAAAAGCATTCCCATGACGGGAATCGAACCCGGGCCATGGCGGTGAAAACGCCAGATCCTAACCACTAGACCACATGGCACATGTGTTGGAGGAACTCCAATTTCTGTCCATGGCAATTTTTCACTAAATTCTTTGAACGACCATGCGAGACTTAAAATACTCTGCGTTGGCGGGGAATCGAACCCCGGTTTCCCGCGTGGCAGGCGAAAATTCTACCACAGAACCACAAACGCGATATACTGCACAGTCATTTCCTCGCACTTCCTTCACTGTGGATTTAAACACCACCAAGTTATTTTGAGAACTGGTACACACGTGGTCAGTAATTACTCATTGTGGTCTTCTTTAGCTACCTTAT